AGGAACGAAAGCACCTCTGATCTTTTGCACAGCATGGGCTGCCTGCATTCTCCTTGTCAAACTGTAAATAATCAAAATCAATGGAAGGCACTAGAAGTCCAAAAACCTAAAAAGAAAAATCATTTCCCAGATATACCAACAATAAAAGTCATTCCCTTGTTACATAATTTTGATTATTAGCAAAATAGAAAAAGCAGAGACTCGGACAAATTTTTCTATTCTGTATTTCACTGATATCTCTGAGGTTCTGTGATGCTCTGAGTTTTTGGCTCGGTATGTATTTCTAACTGATCTTTTGAGTAGGTCTCATCAGAGCAACACATTCAACAACCTCCAGGAGATTTAAGGCAAAGGTACTCAGAGCATCAGAATTAATACTCATACTGTGTGACCAAATACAAGTAGGTCAACTTAAAACCTAAATCTCTGTCACAAGTCAAAATAACGAATACTTTTCCAGTATATAAAAATGAATGCAATGGGATTATTTCTGTTCTTCCTACTCTAATATAAATAAGTAAGCCCTTTTCATCACCTTCTTTCACATCTTCCACCATCCAAACTTACAAGAAGAGTCTGGAAGGAGAGAGGCAGGAGTAACGGCTACCAAGGTGATACCAGACAGATCATGAATACCTGAAGTCACAGATGTCTGAAGAAGACACAGACATAGGAGGTAACTGCAGCACCACACAGTTAGAGAGTGATCTCAGCCAAAGTAAAGGGGACTTTTTCTCCTCATCGCTTCCTTCCAACTGGATTTGAGGTAGGAAGAAGTTAAGCAAATTAACTGTTTCTAAGTAGTATGATATGTATGTTCATCATCTGAATAGCCCTTAATTTTCTACCTTATTCTGCAATATTACAGTGCCTTTGCATACCCAGTTTGGTGGACTGGTTTACAGCACCATACACTCACATGAAATTCAGAAGTACCTCTGGGATTTCAGCTCCCTAAGTCAGCAAGAGCTTATAGTATCACAGAGATAACGGCTGTCAGTCTCTCAAGGGAAAAGCTCTGCTCATGTTGCTCTTGAAATGAATGATGGAACAGCATTAGAAACATCCTCACTGATAGAGGCTGACAGTTCCTTTATTGTCTAGAGTTAGAACTGCATCAGATACAGTATGCTGCATTGTAAAATAGCACAGTTTGATTCTGAATAGAGAACCACTCGTTATGTCAGGAAGCCTTAACAGAGAATAAGAGTAGTGGAATGAAGGGAGGAATGGGCAAGACAAGAAGGGGAAAAACAGTATTTTTAAGAACAATTATGTGAATCCTCTACAGCCCGTTGACCTTCTCATACTGTAAAATCTTACTGGAAGACAAGCCACTTGCCTGGGAACCCATTTGTTTTCAGTGTATCACATACAAATTATGCTAGGATTACTACAGTTATATCTAACTGAATTAGGGCACTGTGTTCAGGAGAATAAATTAGAAAGTAGTGTTCCTTAGCAAGTCTATAAGAAAGTTTGGCCTAATCCAGAAGACTTAAATTAAGAAGCCACTCTTCTACTTGTCTACCCAGAAAACACATGGATCCTGAAACAAGCTTCACAGAGGGAGTCTGAATATTCTCTGATATCCTCAAAGTGAAAGACCCTCGAATACTAAATATGGCATTAGTGCTAGGATCAGGCTGCCAGCTGGTAAAATATAGCTATGTCTTCATGTTTAATATCATCTACATCTTTGACGTATCAGCTGAGCCTCTGGGTGATTTCAAAGAGGCTAATTATAATTACCTCTTCCTCTTACTAATAGTGCTACAGAAAGAGTAATGATGACACTTGTTCAGCATATCTGGCCTATGGTCATTTCTGCATTTCTGTGTGCTCTCTGAATTCTTAACATGCAAACATCAAGCTCTCTTACCTGGAAGAACACGAAGCAGCTCATGGGCCCAAAGACCTACCACTGCTTCCAAGGACAGGAAAGCACAATAAATTGGCTTCCCAGTGTATGGAATCACAGTGCAGATTAGATCCAGCCAACTCAGTCAACTGCTTATTTCACAGCATTTCTTTCAAAATAGTCCAGACATATTCAGAAGTGCAGGAACTTTGAAAAACTTATACTAAAACAATTGCAAAGCCTGTAAAGTTAATATTTTCAAAGGACTGATGTTAATATATGATTTATAACTGCATTGTCACATACTGTAAACTGACTTTCATTATTATTTTCCCAGTGTTTCAGAGGTCATTACAAATGCTAACACAGAAGGGAAGGTGGTGTTTCACCTCTAACTATTGGCAGCATTTACCAGCCTGAAGACGTCTTCTTATAACCATCTAAGAAACTGGTTTCTCAATAGATAGTACAAAGATCCAAGTATATGTTCATTTCAGTACACCAGACTTTATAGCTGGAGTTCCTATTAGAGTCCATAACAGCATCCATGCTGCTACCTTCTAATGGCAAAAAAAGCGAGCAAGGCTCCAACAGAAAACAGCTAAGATTTGCACAAGTCCCTGATCAGAATAACTTTCAAAACCATTTTTAGGAATTTTCTGCCTGATTTTTCTTTCAAACACAAAGGACCCAGGAGCTACCAAAGTTCTGCTGGGCATAGTGGGGGTAGAATTTGATTTTGTTCATCCTTTCAAGAATGCCATTGAGGTTTGTAAATATTCACTGTGGTGCTAAGGTTTTGAAAAAGTAGTTATACAGCAAATTTGAATGATTAATGATCCAAGACATTTTAACATGTTATTTCTCTATTTTCAACATAAATAGTGTGTAAAGGGTGTTTAAAACTTTAATGAATCGAACTATATGAGTAAAGAATGTTAATCATTTTAATTGCCCAGTAGCCTGAAATTAGATTTAACAGTCTGATAATGTATCTTTAAAGGAATACAACCCTGCTCTATAAAAAATCCCTTCCAAGCCAATTCTAATAATTTCTATTTATCTTTTATGACATTAACTGTTATACCAGTCTGCCGACAGACAGCCTTACGCTCACATTTAGTTTAAATGTGGTGCAGTATAGTTTTTCATTATCATTAACGTGCTCCTGGTGGGCAGAGTGCAATGCAGTGGCACTGGTCACACTTCATTGCTTTATCTCATATGACAAAGAGAGATGATGTGCTTCAGTCCAGGCCAGAAGATGAAAGCAAAAGGTGGCCATGGAAAACTCCCCCTGCTGCCTAGGAACAGCATAAGGGCTGCATCGTGTGACTTGCTAACAGCATGAAGGGGCAGACAAATAGATTTTCCTCTATATTTATAACCAGCATCATTCTTCCTTTCAGGCCTTTCAGTGCAGGTAGCTGTTTTATATGAAATGAACAATCTTTATAGACGTACCAGAGCCATAACAAGGCTGATTTTCAGCGAGGCTGAGGTATATAACTCTTACAGAATTGTCAGGCTTCTTGCTCAACAAATCAAGCCTAACTTATGATGTTTGCAGTGTAATTTTTATTCCTGTTTGACTAGCCAACTACCCAGTGGTAATAGGATGTTAGAAAAGGGCAGTAGCAATGTTTGTACATGCCATGATTGATAGGCAAACTCTGCATTTTTCATTTATATCTCCTGATTCCAAATCAGTTAAGTTTAGGAAAAATGAAACAAAATGGCAAGAAAAATGCTTGCAGATTGCAGCCCAGCACTCTCGTAGATCTGAGTTCAGCCCACATCTGCTAGGATTGTCTGGAAACATTAAGATATCTAAATGAAAATCAATACTATATGTGCCAGCATTTACTACCAAGAACAAGTATCAAGAGACCTCAGCTAATCAGGCTTTCAAGCTTGTACTTGAGCCATAGTCTGAACCCCAGGAGTGTCCTAATTGGCCTAGACTAATCATAGAAGAGTTAAATTTATAACCAGGAAAGACATCTTGTTTTTCTTACCAGTCATCATTTTGAAACTGAACGCCTCTCACCTGCGTGGTAGCGGATGTATGGTGATAGCCACTGGTCATGCAAGAACAACTACTTACCTGTCAAAGGTAAAGCAAAGACTAATTTACTGTCTTCCATAAAACCAGTCAGGCACATTTAAGCTTTTGGTGGGTATATAGTGCTATCAAGCCTTTCACATGGCTGCATATTTTCTCAACTTAAAAGCTCTGCATTTAACCCTCCTGTGCTAGAAGATAGAAGGTTTATATTTTAGAGGTAAAAGACCCTCTCAACACACACCAGTCTCCCAAACTAAATTTTTATTGCTGCGACATAACTATTTTCAATTCACATATTGTTGGTGGGATTTTGTTTTCTTTTCCTACTGTAGAGCATGCAGATGTGCACAGAAAATAATACACAGTAGTTCAGTTTACCTTCATAAGGCACAAAAATATACACAATATTTTTTTCTGTAGGAAAATAAAATTCCTTATCCTAAAATGAAAGTGTGCACAATATCTCTTGGAAGAATCTTAAATTCCACAGTTAAAAAATTACACTGCATTGGGGAATTAGGTTCCTAATATTTGTATTTGGAATGCCAAATGTGAGCAGATTTTATAGTATTTTCAACAAATTAAACACAAATATGTAAAATGTTTATGAAGCTCAGGCTTCTATTTTAGGGTTTTTTTTGGTGGTTTTTTTTTTTTTTTTTTTTTTTTTGAGTAACTTAATAATTCTGTATAGATTTCTTTTTAAAAACAAAATAAAGTGATGAATTAAGCCTAGAAATGCAAAACCTAATGTTTTTCAGTTTTCTTCAAAAGCATATGTAAAATTCCCTGGAGACTCACATCTACCAGAAGTTTAATAATATTATTTAGATTCTTTATATCCCATATGTTAGATGTATTTTTAATGCATACCTCTTAAAACAAAGGCAAAAAGTTGTCAGATATTGCATTCTCTTCTTACCACTGTTAATGGTTTCCTAGACAGTGCTATCATGGAAACAACATGGCATGTTGTGATCAATGAAAGCTTGTTTCTCACATGGCACAACGTTTCCCTTGGATTCTCATCTCCCACTAGTGCCTGCTGTGAAATTTTGTCAGTTCTTTTACCTTCAAGGATTTCTTGTCCTCCATTGTTGTAAACTGCTGTGTTATCTTCCCAAATCAGCCTTCCTGTCTTCTTTGCCGCTTCACCTCCCACTTCTCATGGAACAAGAAAGCTATCTTCATCTTCCCCTTCTGTCCCTATGCCTGATAACTTGCTGCTCTCTCACTGTGTAGCACAGAACAAGGTAATGAACAAAATAGAGCAGATAGTGAATTCCAGCAAGATTCACTCAAAGCTACATTTGAAGAAAGGCAACTAGAAGTCTTTCCAAAACAGTTCAGTTATCTGACTTCGTGTTTCTAGACCAGATAGTTCACATGTCAGTCAGTAGAATATCACAAGCATTCTAATCATCAATACACAGAATTAGATTCAAAGATACATTTAACAGTGACTTCATTATTAATGAAAGCTACAAACCATACTCAGGAATTCCTCATATCTGCAGAATTCTTTTGATACAAATTCTTGAGCTCCTTGCTTAGCAGAAGACCTTATGATACTCACATTTCAAATACATTTTAAAAAAATAGACCAGGACAGTTCAGATGGAAGGGAACTTCAAAGATCATCTAGTCCAACTCCTGACCACTACAGAACTAATTAAAAGCTAAAGTTATTGAGCACGCCATTCAAAAGTCTTTTAAACACAGGTGGGCTAAGGGCCTCTCTAGAAAGCTGTTTCAGTGTTTCCACCTTCACAGTCAAGACATTTTTCCTCATCAACAACAAAAAATTCCGATTTGACCCCTCTTGCAGTAGGTAGGTACGAAGACCTTCTGAACTGAACTGAGCAAAAGCCACTGCTGTCAGCACATCCAGATCATTCACTCACAGACAGTGCCATAGAGACACAAAAAATGCATAGGCTCAACTTGGTACAAAATAAGAAAAAAAAGTAAGATTGAATGTATGTGGCAGCTTATAGCATTACAGTAAGGCAAAGAGGTCAATTAATAACCACGTTGTTTAAGGATCTATTTCCTCAGTTTTCCAGCTTTCTTGAGATAACTAGTAATACCATCAAGTACAGTTTGACCCCCCCTAAGGAGCAGACCACAATTGCACAAAAGTGAAGACCACTCCCTCTTCTTCAGCTCTGTAAATTCACAAAAGCTAATAAGCCCTGGAGACGGAGGTCTCAGTTATAAAGGAAGAGACCTGCACCAGTCCTGCTGGAAGAAATTCCTGTATGGGTAGTAAAAAAGAGTATACGAGCCATTTCAGAGCTAAGAACAAGGCTCAAGTCACCTCAAACTCTCATTGAAAAGATGATTGATTCTGTTCTATTTTGCTTCTTCCAGCAGAACATTGTAGGATATTTTCTCTGCTGCTTGCCACCAAGTTTACTGCACTTGTCTGCCAAGTTCTGCAGTTGTCAGATGAACACGAACTCCCCCCAACAGTGTACACCTATTTTCCTTTTGATGCAAATTCTCCTTTTTACTAGCAGTACAAATCAGAAAAACACATATAATTCTTATTTTCATCTGATACTGAATAAAGCTACTTAAAGCTTATGCCAAATTAATAATCTTTTCTTGGCAATTTCACACCAGGATTCCATGCCAACTTTTGTTTAACAAGCAATGTTATTAACAGAGAAAATACAAATTTCTTTTTTGTTGTTGTTTCTGCTTTGAATTTGAGTTTTTTGATGTAGTGAATTCTCCAGTGTATATATATACCTAAAAACTGAACAAAGGCACAGCAGTTGTGTCATTTCCATGAGAAGTGCTAATGTACTCAAGTTTTAGACAGCTTAGGAGGTTTGTTGGTTTTCTTTTACATATTAAAATCACTACTGAAAATAGAGATGCAAGACACATGATTCAGACTCTCCTCTAAGAGTGCTGTTTCAGGCACTCCAAGAGCTGGAGTTTCTAAGAAGACCTCGCCTCTCAGTGCTACCCAGGAAGTAGAAATGAGTTAGAAAGGAGGTTTAGCTAGTCAACAGATTATTCTCCTGGCACCGGGTACGCACTGCTGCTAACGTGCCAGCTCTCCTGCTGCCACCCACCATCTCAGCATATGGGGTGCGTCAGGAGTAAAAGGCAGCAGAACAGCACATCGCTGTATTTCTTTTTTCCCTCATACAGCTCAGTTAAATCACTCACTCTACTGCTAGCTCTAAGAATTGCTGATCAGCAGAGCAGAGACTGCAAGGTCAGGGATGAAAGCAATAAAGGAGTAGTATCTTTCCTTCCTCCTGGGCTGAGGATCAGCCCTTGATTCTCACTATCATCATTAGCTCAAGAGAATATTTTGCAAGTCTGCAAGTGAAAACAAAGTAGAAAAAACACCCCTGCTACTCACGGTGAAGTGTACAGCAAAATCAGGAACAACCTGGCAGCTGCTTATCCAGTTCTTCATCTTCTCTTCTAGTGCTGCTACAACTCAATACAAACCTTCTTCACATCCATCCCATCTATTATTATATTTGCTGAACCAAAATCCTTAAACATTCTGCATCTTTTTCTCTCTTTCTTTTGAGTTGTACAGATGGGTTGCTTCTTTGGAATTGTATGAGAATTATTTGAGTTCTATCATTTGCCATCATCCTGTGACATACTGTTATAATTAGTCTAGTTATGTCAAGTTCTTTGTTGAAGATTAATCTCATTCCTCCAGCGTTGCCTCTCTCCCCTTGTTAGATTGTGCCCCAATTTTTCTCTGTGTATTGCTGTAAGAGGTCTTCTAAAGTTGCTCTCTACAATCCAGCAAGTTCTAACAGATGTAAAATTGTGGAAGAACCAGAGCAGAACTCAATGACCAAAAGTCACCACTCATCACTGACTGAACTCTTCCAATAGCCAACATTTCAACTTGTAATTAAAGCAAATAGAGTTCACTCCACCTCTCAGAAGTAACACAGCTTTTGTATTGTTTGCTTGTTTACTTTCAATGAGTTTGGGACACTGACAAGATTCTTTATGAGCCCCTCTGAAAGAGGACACCCAAAGAACTCCCAGGAAGCAGTTCTGACCCACTGTACTTCTTTCTGTAGGCAAGGAAGAGATTGCCTTTAACAGTTCCTGACAAGGTGCAGTATGTCAGAGAACTGACACTGAAGTACCTAAGCGTGTCTGCAAAAAGAATGCAAAATGACATAAAAATACTAGTCTCAGTTTAGTGTGTCATCACTAGCTTTCAGAGTTAACAATTCATTAACTAAATTAAAAGGAGGTATGTCAAGAACCATTTAGCCTGATCATCAAGGAGTAATCTGAATTTGAAAGATTCCCACATCAAAAACATTGGCAAAGCCAATCCAAGATTTTACAGGACTTGATGGTACTCCACATAAAAAGGACAGTTCCCTAACTGCAGTTGATTTCTGGGGAAAGAAAGTACTTTTCCTTGATCTTTGCTCTGAGGCTTTCTGCAAGGAATGCAAGTGATGCTCTTTATAATACTCTAGAAAATTAATGGTGGCTAGCAGAATAATTTTATACCAGACAGTAAACAGAAAAGAACTGGATGTCAAGTAGTGACTGCAAAGTAACAAATTTTGTATGATAATATCAGTTTCCTAAATATCCATTTAACACTTTCCTAAAAATACTAACAATGTTAATAAAGTTCATTTTATTCTGGTGATTATCTGCTTTATCGTGTTATTTCATTTCATATAATTCATCTTACTCTAAATACTATTTTGTTTTTCCTTTTTCTGTATTTTCTCATGAATTCTTTCTTTCTTGTTCTTTACCTTAAAAATTGTCACTGGCTAAACAACAGCTCCACACCAGAGATTCATTTTTTTTCTAAGCAATCCTTAAGTAGCTGAAATTTGCAAATATCCAGGTTTCTGAAAATAAAATTCTTTCTTCTCCAGGCAATGTCTATATGAAGTTACATTAATTTGCACAGTCTAATCATACTGATTTAGCTACCTATATATCAAACTGAAGTGCAGCCACACCACTTTGCAGTGCCAGCAGAAGGTACTTCTGCTGTTAATCATTGTACAGCTCAGTACTTGGTTTGAAATACCCACTCATTACATAGCCTATGGTACAGTATTCCATTCCTCAGCCCTGTCCTCCCATCCCTGCTATCTGCTCAAGTACTTTACTCCCAGACTGCCTGTCCTGTTGAGCATAGGTAATGTCATCCACAATGTTCAGTTTTAGTGGCATCGCTTGCAGAAGTGATAGCAAATAGAGAACAAGGGACAACATCATCTATTTCTAGCAATTTCCATTCTGTGCTCTTTATTTATTCTGGTTACCTGCTCCAGAAGCATGTTCTCTTCTCCCTTGGATCATTCTAGTCCTTGAAGGGCCGACCACACAGAATTGCAAGTAAGAAAGATCTTTGTACAGTTCACACAAATTGAGAAAATCTGTTCAAACTAACTCATATGTAATAACAATAATCATCTTTCTTATTCCTGAGCATCACAGAAAGATATATAGGGAGAAAGGCAGAGGTGATGAAAGAGAGTGCTAAACAGCAGCTTAGAGTGGGAAAAAGAAAAAGTAAGGAATGAGTCCAAATAATGGAGTTAATTCATTTCTAGGGAAGATTACTCACAGTCATCCAAGATACCCTTTAAAAGAAACTTTAGCATAGAATATTCTGGACACAAATGCTTGCACAGACAGCTGAATTCCAGAGCTGCAGAAGGGAAAAAAAAAAAAAAAAAAAAAAAGGAAAAAAAAAAAAAAGGAAAAAAAAAAAAAAGGGGGAACAGCTCTGATCCATTCAAAATAGTTTCTCTTCTTTTTATATTACAATTGGCAACAAACACAAAAATAGTAAAGCTCTTCATCACTTCCTTCTTTTACTAGAATTGTCCTAGGCTGCACTGAGTTTAGAATATCACAACGCTGAAACAAAACCAAAGATCCTCAGGATAGAAGCCTGAATGGCAGCAGGCTAGCACCTTTGCCAAAGAGGAAGTGAACACAACACCGAACTGGACATAGTTTTTAAAGCAGGTTTGACTAAGGAATCATCATTCTTGAAACAATTCTTAGAGGAGAAATGTCTGCTATAATACAATTTTTAATACAGTTAGGAGTTTGGCAGGACATTTGTAATATCAATCATTACAGTTCACTTTGACTTTTGGATTTGTGCTGAAGCTTGGTTTTTTATGCTTTGGTTAAAAATTATAACATCTTTAGTAGCTGGATATATTTGTATCAGATTCACTA